GCGAAATTAGCGCTAATCGAGAAGTGAAGAGCGAATTTCTGTTTTAAGGGAGGATACTAGTTAGTGAAGTCATGAAAGCGTGTCATAACAGGAATGCAAAATTGTTCTTCCCGTGGTTGGTAAAAAATCGTCGTGCTTGCTGTCTTTGAGCCAATCAAACTACCAGATGAGCATAGATGGGATCTTCATTTTTTAGTTCAGCCACCCGGGCTGATACGTTTGACTGAACCAGTTCGGGTACTGATCTTTTATAATGAATAATATGTTTCTTCAGAAAAACAAAACCAGGACTTAATCTAAAACTAATTTGCAAATGAGATTATTTGCATTGAACGAATCAACGTCAAACGGGATAGACTGAAATGACANTCGGGCTACATATTCGAGTCATCAGTGCCTTAGCCCAATATTTTATCGTCATCCGTAGATTATATCGAACTCGGTCGCGTTTGTGCACAAACTCTGTTTGGAACTGGTCACGTGAACATGCACTGGGAGAAGTCGCCATTACTCCCTTATCGGTAGCGATTGTTAATCAAGGATTTCCGGAAGCGGTGCTCGATTTTTGTGTGTGTTCTTTTGCTACAATTCATGTCATGGTTATTTTTTGTTCTTTTCCGATTGCCCCCCCCCCTCCTCCCCCAATCCTCAATAGCACAAAAGCACCGCAAATTCCATGTATCAATCATACATGGCTAAAAAAATATCTGTGTTGTGTTCATTCATCTTCCGAACTATTTCCGATGTTAGACTTAATCTGTTTTTCATAGTTCTTCTAACTACAACACCGCAAAACAATCGCATTTAGTTGCTGATTTTGTTTCATGTGCGTTTCTCACGCTATGACTGTTAGTCTCTCTATGCGGTAGTCACAAATTCTGTGTGTATGTGTACCGAAGGACGTGCACTTGGCTTTTTTATCCATAGTTCGGACTTGTGTTTGAGTTTTGTGGTAGCCTCGCCACTCAAGGTCTCACGCATCAGCCTAATCAATACTACCGATTCAACGCATTTTTTGGAAAGGGGGAGGTATCAAAAACCTGATGTGCAGTACTTGAACTGCGCTCTATATGATTTTCTCCTCTGAAAGTTGTACCCGTGCTTACGGATTGAGTTCCTAGTGATTGTCCATATTGTTGTGCAACCCGCATCCGAGATTCATTCTAAAGCTTGGTTTCGTATACTTCAAGATTCTTTTTGATCAACTTTGCAGCTCGGTTGAGTACAGCTATTTTGCGATTGAAAGTTCATACTTTAACAGTTTTGAATTGGAATGTGAGAATCGGGAGCGCTGGTGTATGTGCTGCTTATAAAAAAAACAAGTGCACTATCATTCCGGAGTGAAAATCCATGTACCCTAACAATCTGTCAGAGAAAAAGTGGATACACTGAAACAGCTGTGATAACACAACTGACCCATGAAGCTTCGGTTTCTGTGAGTGTTCGTGACTAATGAGTTCGCTCTATCTATCAAGGAAAAGATCAGCTGAACTGTTTATTCGTGTAGGTTGATTTTCTGATCATCATGCAACAAAATGCTAATTTGAAAAATCTTTTCATGTTACTTCTTAACTGTTACCACGAGGCAAACGTGAACGTGCCAGGGTTCAACTCATTCATTTTCTTTCCTCAACGATTCTCGTTTCTTACCTCAACACACTTTGCTGGTTTCTTTCGCTCTTTATCAGCTCCACGGTACCTCATTCTAATTTGACTTAACCATGGAGCATCAGTAAATTTATCCTAACTCACTGCCGTCATTCGTTTCTGACCGTTGCCTTCTTCAAATCGAAATTTCCCACCTTTGCAGATTTTGCGCGCTAGCATTGACAAAACCTCGCAAGAAGATGAAACTATGGTAGATGGTCGCTCACAAACTAGTTCGGAGGAACGCCAATTCCAAGAGGCAATCATAAACACGATTGCCGAGTTCGCGAAAAATCTACCGGATACACAGAAGATAGAAATACTCAAGTTCATCCTCAACTTTGAACCAATGGCAAAGTAAGTATTGTATTTTCGGAAACTGCCAGTGCAGTGATTACTTCGGGTAAAATGTCTGAAAGGGGTTTACTGGCCTGCTGATTCTCACTTCCCATTCATCGGTTTTTGGAAGGCTTTCCATAATATCGATTGGACAGTATGGTTCCGCAAGGTTACTTCTAAAGATCCCGTGGCAAACTTTACTTTCCAAACCATTCTGTTTAATTTCATTTACTTTGTTTTCATATCGTCAGTCTCATCCAAAATATAGGTTCCCATATCGGTATTTCTGCCCGCTTCCGTTATTGAGATAAAATCCGCGGATTTACTTATTCACCCAAAGAATGGATAACTATAAATAAAAACTGATCTATGACGGTGGTCCGTCTCACCAGACGAATACGGCCTATTCGAACAGTTTTCACCGGTTAGCTGTCTGGTAACTTTTTGTCCTTCATTGAGTTACCGTATCTTTTGATAAAATCGGTTTTTAATAATTTTGGCCCTACAGAGGACATAAACCGGAGCAGATTATTCCCAGTTTTTTACAGGAGCATCCGAGGTTTTGCAAAATGCTGTCTTGGGTGGCATATATTCTGGCTACTTGTGAGTAGTACAACTATTATTTGCATATTTCTGTTCGAAGTCTCCAATCAGGTCGGCGCTGAAATGAACATCTCGGTCGGAAGAGCTCCGCGCTCCAACCATGACACGGAACACATTTCAAAAGAACAATCTGTTCAAAATGGTAATAAATGTTACTTCTAGTTCAATTTCAAGTCGTAGCTCACTTTTTAACCTCTGTTTTGGGGTACACGTGTAAGAGAGGGTACAGGCGAATTTCGATAAAAGTTTACACCAGTTGGTATATTTCGGGATTTTGTGTTAATTGAACCTGTAATTGGTGGTTAGGGTCGAAAAGAGTTTTTTTTATCGAAGTCAATACAAGAATTTATGTAATGATTTTAAAGTTTTGCAATCAATTCACTTGCCAAATTGGGGTAAAGCAACGAACAAACATAGAACGGTTGGATTTTGAGAGAAACTAACCGGAGAATAATAGGAGATAGAGATGATATTAGTATACCAAAGTAGGAGTAACTAGCTGATCGCGAATTCTGCCGGTCTCTTGGCTTTCCGGTTTGAATTTGTGAGCGGCGCGGTTCACCAACGCCATTGTGGATCTCGAGATTGTTATCTTTAATGAAACCAGGATATCTCGCAGTGCTCAACCTTGATGGAGAACTAATAATAATCACTGTGGGGTATTTAGATAAAGAATGACGTGAAAAACTCTGTATAAGTACACAACACGTTTTCTTAGCCCTGATTAGGTTTTTGTAATTGGCCCCTTTTCACAGCAGTTTGGACATATCAAGGTGTTCTATTTTATCACTGTGTACTTTTCCCCTACCTTGAGTTCTCAATTCCGATGTGCCGCACCGCAAGTCTCTCATAGAAGTATGCAGTCTGTTTCGGAATAAAAGATGTAACATAAGGTGAACTAAGATAAAAGATATAAAATATATAAAAAGACGTAAAGAATGTCGTCTACATGATACCCGTGTGTTACATATTTGTTGATGTACAATTTAAGCGAACTTCATTTTTCTTACAAAATAGCAACACTTAATGACCTCAGCTAGAATCCCTCCGCTACTCGGCTTCTATGGTTACATATTTCACCATTAGGGCGTGATTATGTCTCCTCAGTGCGGCATGAGTGTTTTAGATCATTCGGTGACAGTCCCAACCCAATCACATTCTTCTGGATAAAACCTGCACAGTTGAATAATCATTGGTCTTGATGATTAGAGCTTTAATGAATAATGTGATCTCTTTGTGAAAATATGCGCCTCTTCATGATTTTCAGTTGTGCTCTTCACCAGTCCCAGTAAACTCTCTTGCAACTCGACCACAGTGTGAAAGGGGAGGAGACGGGTTACACATGTTCATGACTGGCAATAATGGATGTGTGCACTTTCGTACAGTTAGGTCATGCGATCACAGAACATTTGCTCCTCTTTGGCAAACTTTCTTCAAACTTAGCGGAATCTATTGATCCTGCTCTTTGAAGCCTGCTGACTGTAGTAGACAGTAATTTTCCTGTCTCACAGGTTTTGTCTTTTTAGGCCTTTTTGTCATTCAAAACTGTTTCCCTCTTCATAAAGCTGTTATACCTGTGGAGTAGTATCATGCCGGAAACCAGGTTTTTTCTGTCTTTATTCCTCTTTGATCGTACCTACTCGTCTATCAGCGAATCGATAGTGCTGTTTTGGTAACAAGTGTTCACCAGTCTGGTCCCAAACTTGTAACTGAGATGATGGAGCCAAATCGGATAGATGGCTGAGCATGCAGGTTTCCAAGCTCGACCTCCACATCGGGTTGTGTGAATTCGGCACCAGGACTTCGACCTCTAAGGTAACAGATACTTCCAACAACCCCTCTTCTGGGTTAATAAAAGAACAAATCTCCTCGGATTCGTTCACTTTGAAGAATGCATGCGCCTCGTCATAATGTTACTGCACGGTTCTGTAGTAGTTGTGAAGATGATATTAGCAAATCATCTTCCAGCTCTTCCAGTTTATTTTGGACTGGCTGACTCTAACCAATGCATCCGCTGTTCACTCTGGCAATTGAGTGCATACCAATCATTGTGTCGCTAGCTTAGAGCGTGACATACGTTAGTCGCACTTGCCACCTCTCACCGTAAGACAAAGCACAAACACCGATGCATACCTCCTGGTTAAACTACCTTAGCATTTACAGCCGGTAACAAACATTTATTACATTGTGATTTATTATCAAGCCACAACCACTATCGATTGCTGTTTTCTTTTGTGCTAATACTTTCCGTCCTAACTCGCACAGATATCATCCGGAAAACGGCATTCGACCGCGACCATTAATCATGGTTCTGTTGCAAACAATGCTCACTGTTGCCACACAATATCGAACCGTAGCTATATCGAACGCATTGAATTCCGATTTTCTCAACCTTCTGCTGCGTGGTGTTGCCATCGATCGAGATCCGGCTATCCGGATAATTGTACAGAAAATTTTGCATACCCTGCTCGACCGACACGGGAACACAGACCGTTTGCTCAATGTGCAGTAAGTGCTTTGTTGTTGTTGTTTTTTGCTGACCAACTGGTAAATTTTTCACATTAATCTAAATCCGTTATTGTTGTCATGTGAACATCGTTATGGCAATAAAGCCATTTAGAATTTGCTTACGGAGCTGTAGGAACAACACAATGGATTCTGAAAGCCGGTACCTTGGACCAGCTTAATTTGTAAGGTGGAGGGGTGGCCTGGAGACCACTATTTATTGTCGGGGGTCCGGTATCCGGCCAATCAGGGTTTAAGCGCACCAAACATGATTCCAAGGTTACCCATACATCCAGTTGCTCAGATCTCTTTTCACAATCCGAATGTCCCGAAGTTAGTTCGTACGATCATTGATGCCACAGTTGTACTGTATTGAGAGTGTCTATTCCCCGTTTATTTCCTATCGCAATGCAATAATTTTCAACCGAAGCGTTGTAACCTCATATGACCTCCGCCGGACAGTTTGCATTTCGTCGTTTCACTCATGTTTCTTTGCTTGAATGTCGGAAAAAAGTCAAGTGCTGGACAGGTAATCCTCCTCTTTCATCTTTGTTTATGTACACGCAGTGTTCGTTCCAAATTTTGATTGTGTTTCTGTCACAATTTCCACTTCATTACAGAGTATACAACGACCAACCTTTGGAATCCTACTTCGTATGGGAAGAACCATCCAGACAGGATATTCTTTTCATGAAAAAGGTTTGTTCAGTTTTCACAGAGTTTTTTCTTCTCAACTTTGTCTTTTTTGCTTCATCTATGTGTGTCTATTTAGGGTCTTCTGCTCCAAGCGCTTCCTTATCGCGTGATTATGAAAAGCATTTGTCGTCTTCACTGTGACTATATGGTTTGAAACAACCTATCTTCCATCACATTACAATTTTCGCATACACGTGTACAATTGCTGGTTCGATTCCGACGTTGACGACTAAATCAGATTCAGAAGCCGGTTCGTAGTGCAGATTCTTTTGCTTGGAGAAATGCTGTTTCTCGTATACAGGTCGATGAGAATGAGGACGCTGAATGGATTGAAAGTGATCAAATCAATAGATCTGCTAGTGACTTGACCAATTTTTTTCACAAATGGAGAAATTATAACTACCCACAGTCTAGTTTTTTTTGGTGCATCTGATTTTTTTCCTCGCCACGACCATCCCGCAAATGTGCCCGCTTGTGATTTTTCTGGTCAGACTATTTGTTGGGGGGTCATTTCGATGTTTTGTTTGTGGTTAAAACGTTAGTGTTTGTTCTTCAGCCTTTTCAACTAAGCTTAGAGATTCCATCTGATCTGAAGCGCTTTCGTATGAAAAGAAGAAGTACTGGAGAATGTGTGCTCGAATGTCGGTTGATCTATAGGAATTGTCACCAACGATCGATATACTCGGACAACAAGGAGCATGAAAATATACATGACTTTCCACACCTGTCGGAGTCCATATTGTGTCAAGAAAGAAATCGGCTAATAATTTGATCGTGAGCGAATTACTATCGATCGCTCATCCCAAAGCAAGCGGATTCATAACCCGAGTTCGAAATCATCTAACGACTGACCCACAAAGCAGCTGAACAATCTTTGAAAGTTTCAACCCATCGGGGCTGTTCTCCACTCAGTCGAGTCCTACACACTTCGAGAGAGAGGTTCATTCATCCATGGTGCCTAATACACGCTATTGCCCAATCGAACAGATCACCATCGTAACCATAATGTCGTGCAGCCAGTTCTTGGCACTGTTTAAATCATAGTTTTCTAACTCCCCTAGATGATCGAGTTGCTTGTGGCTAGTGAACTCGGATATCAGCATTTCGCCCTCAAACTTTGGTGGAAACACCCTCGCATAAAAATGGGCTGGGACATATTGGTTGTTTATCAAAACCGTGTTTATAATGAGTTCCGTCGTGTTTGAATTTCTGTTTGTACACAGTAATGTATTCTGTCAGACTTGACTCCTAAACCCAACGCGCTTTTTTCTGTGTTATGCTACTGGACTCACTTGCCCGTTTCACACACTGTACCCAGAAATTCGCGGATCAGCTCACGCACTTTATCACAATGCAACGTGAGATAAATAAAAGTCACAAAACCAATGGAGATGATCATGCGCTCATTGGTTCACACGACCTCCTCTTGCACAGCTATGTTGTCTCCATTTTGTTCTGCATTCCCCACATTCTTGAATATGGAATAATAATAATAATATTAATAACAGTAAACGAATTCACATTACTTATTCCCACAACCATTCTCGAGACCTATTATGGTCACATTTTTATTCTACCCCATGTATGTGAGTGTGTGCGCGCGCTTCTACCATCGATGGTTAGATTTCTGTTGCTGCTCCCGCTATTATTTTTCCTAACTTATTCTCTGTGTGCTCCGTTTAGCTCCGTCCCGTATCACACTCAACTCGGTCAATCTCATGTTGTTTTTACCCCCTTCCCCTCGCGGTTCACATGCATTCTTTTAGGACTGAACTTTCAAACCAGTGCAACACTGTGTCCACACTGTATTCTGCTAATAACTGTCATCGAATCATCATGTGTGCTGGCTTGGATCCAGTTGTAGCTGGTCATTTTGTATCGTTCCACATCAAAATCACTCACCTACCCGGAAAGTAGAAGCGATGTGGAATATACCATGTGCCATTCTACTCATTAGCTACAGATTATTCGGTTACAAATATCAATCTACATAAAGGAAGTGTTACATTCATACATATATGTACGTGTGTATTGTATTGTTCGACGAAATGTTGACGCAATTGTACCATTTTTCAGTCTCGTCAACTTCAATCAATTTCCTGGCATTTGGCAGCTTTTCGTCGCTCATTTTCAGCGCATTGACCGATCACATCTCTACTCACTTGAGGCAGAACAACTTTTCTATTGGATGTTAGATTGTTTCGCTTGTCCAATTTATCTCTTTCTGAACTGCATCTCGGTTTGATTTGTTCCTTCTGAAACCCTACTCAATGGGACACATTAGTTACCTCATCAGTATTACTTCATCTACTGGTGAGCAGTAAAACATAGTTGTTCAGACATAGTTGTGTACCCTGGTAGTCCACATACGCATACATACCCTCCGTGTTCGATTGTCTGTGCGAACACATTCACTGACGCGCTCATATTCCAGTCAATCTACAGTTATGGTGCACTGTGAGTGCCAAACCTATTCACTCCGCTCTTGCTCTTTGATCGGTTTCACAGTCTAAAGCGCATGCCTACTCGAATGGTTCAGGTCTCTGATCAACAAATCTCGGCGATTAACCTTCGTTCAAGGGGATCCGTTTTCGTGAACTGGCTTCCTCTCTGTGTGTGTGTGTGTGTGTGTGCGTGCATATAGCAGATCAACAATCTCTGAGATTGTTGCATGCTGATGTCTGTGAGCTGGCGAGAAAAATATGTTGCACTTTGCTCCGCACACCCTCTATAGGGATACCTGTCGACACACTGCTCCCCCCTCCGCCCCGCGAATCTGGGTCATCAGCTCACCCCGTTCGCATAATCCACATTCCGCTCTGAAGCGTCGACTGTCCCGCTCGCTCCATATCAGATCGATTTGTTTGTGCAGGGTTCAAAGTTCGCTCATATGTATTCGTTTTTCTTCCCTCTATGTATGTGGGCGTTCGCGTGCGTGTACTTTCGTATGTCTTACTCTTGTATCATAACATTGAAGGAATTCGTTTATCTCACTTTTACACTGAAATCGAACGATGCCTTTACCCGTTAATAGACCTTAAATAAAAGATTAGTAGTGGTTTGTTTATCGCTAGGATTCCGCAAACAGACTGAGGATGGACTCTATTTCGGACCATTCACAAGCACTGTCATACATACATATCACAGACCGATTGATTTTTCGATTGGATGGATCGATGGTTGCACTGATAGTCGATTCGTTAGTTGATTAGGGAATTCAAGTTTGGCCGCATCAGTGCATTGCCCACCTCTAAATTTGCCAATCGTCTCAATGGTAACCGATGAATTTGTGGTTTTAGATCACTGTATCAGGATCGCAGGGACCTGCTGTTTGATCGGTCCCGGATAACAACCTGAGCCGTTGAACGGGATTTGAAGGGTGACAGAGAAATGCCCCCTGGTGGTTCTGTAAGCATGTTTATGTTTCATACACGTCAGAACCCAGACAGTGACTAACGTACCACGATACAATAATTTCATAATAGGGGAGAAGGTCCATGAATAGCTAGTGTGCGGAATACTGTCTAATTGTATAAACCGTAGCTGGTGAATTTTCTTCGGAATTCGTAAGTGGAGCTTTTAGCTATCCAAAACAGCGAAACGGTGTTTGAAAACCGCAATGGATGGTGTACAATTCATCAGATCATACCCTCTTTGGACGGGGTCAAGATTCCAAGGCATCCAGTGTACTTTGGTGCTCCCATCGAGCTGTTGACCACTACTACAACCAGGAAGATGTGTGTTGTTTGTACGGCTCTTCTTGGTTTGGTTTGGAATCAGTGATTTTCACCCATTTCCCTAGATGAAATGCCAGTGGTTCACCGACCCGGTTATAGCCCTGGATGTTGGCTTTTCGTCCTTTTAATTTGATGGGAAAAAATCGCCACGTGAAGGCAGTATGGCTTCGTCAGCAAGGGCTATTTGAGGCTCTATCATACGGAGGAATTTCGTATGTGCAAATGAACGGTGACCAGCCACAACCCAATGCACCCACCATCGACTATAGTGAGGCTTACAGAGGCATTACTGGTCCGCTTGCAGTATGTATTTTGTGCTAACATCCAGAATTTTTCTTTGGTCAATAACAGTCAAAGTAAATTGTATTTAAAATGACTTCCATTTTTGTTTTCCTCAATTTTTCGTCTGCTTTTAAACTCTTTTATCTTTTTTTGTTGTTCAATTATAGACTGGAGTACTTCTCACAGAAAACATCTACCACCAATTATTGGATCCCACCAACAAAGTTGATTGTTTGGAACATTTGTTCTGCACTGTCGGGCTCGTGGCACTGGAGCTTGGTGCGGATCAGGTATGTTTTGTTTTTCATACATATTTTTTATGTTTACACATGTCTGAACTCATGGGTGCTAAATTAAAGCATGTTGGAGTAAAAGATAAGGCCCCGTAACCTATTTTTCTTGTGCTGTGGCGAAACTACTGGATCCCTCAGATCGTAGCTAGTCGGATCCCACTGAGCTGCCCAGGTTAACCAGAGCCGAAATCGTAAACCAACAGAATACCGTCAGAAGCAGAGGTCTAATGATAGCCGGTGATCAAGGCGATTCGTACATTGAGGCAGCCCGGGGATCGGCAGTTTCCAGTAGTCCATCGGTTTTGAAATGAAGGGATCAATCTTGCTAATTTTAATTGGTAGCCACACTGTCGTTTGTCACAACACTTTATTTGGGTTTGTGTGACGCAAGCCAGGTCACAAGTTGAAACTAACCACTTCCTAGGAACTCTCCTGCTGCCACAGAGTTTTCGCTGTTTGGCGAAGGTATCATTCTTTCTGTAGCCTTGGGATGCTCCTGATCGTATGCACCTCTGGTTACCTCCTTATCGCTTGTGTTTAATCGATATTTTATCTCATTCCTTCATTTTCTCCGCATCCTAATCAGTCATAACTGTTACTATGCGTTTTACTGCGTCGTCATTTGGAGACAAAAGTTAGTTTATAAATTTACGATTTTAATGAAAGATGAAAAGCAAAAGCGTGAAAGATTGTTCCGATCCAAATTTACCTCAAATTTTGTTAGCGGACAGGAATCTAGGTGCAATTGGTTTGCTTTCTTCTGATTAATATGACCCAATTTGTCTCTGTCTCTCTTGCTAATCGCTTAACCCACTGTTCATGTTGCTTTGCGCTTACCATCCATCTGGACAGGTGATCGCAGAACTGTTTCGACTGATTTTGGCTGTACAGAAAAAGATCGTCGACGAACCGCCCACGCTACCAATTCCGCATCGTTGTGCTCTGCACGCACTGTTGGCCGGTGCCATGTCTTTAATTGTCCAATTGGCCAGTCTCTCGGATCTGTGCGCTCATGTGAATGAGGTATGTGCACTAGTCACAACCGGATGATTGTGTGAAGTCTGAACTAGGAGACCAATGTATTCAAATCAAATTGTCGGTTCTCCTGGTCATGATTGGTTTTAATCACCCTGTCAACTTCGGACACAGATTTCATGCACACCGTATTACGTACGTAAACGGGTTCAATCCGTGACCTCAAAACGTACTGTGAGATGAAGATGTATATGAGGGGAACATTCACAATGATTCGAATTTCTCAATTACTTAGTTAACTTTAGATTAGGGGAAACCACAAAACTTGAAAATTCTCTGGGAAATAAGCTTTTGAAAGTCGTTTTTGTACTACTACTACTTTACACTTCTCGGGTTCGTCGTGCTTCGGTTGATCGCTCGCTCACCATCCCACTCACAGCATGATTAATTAACCTTTTTAATGACGGTGGGTGAGTAACCAGTCTCTTTTTTTCTGAAAAACCATTCTACACTTTGGAGTCCAATTTTTTGCTCGAGACAGAATGTAACATGATAACCAACAGTTTGTTTGGTATTTGAATAGTGTCAGCGGCCACAATCGTTAAAAGGTGATGTTGTGCTACCTAGATACACACCTGAAGACTTTGCTCTCTAATTTGCATCTGCCTCTGTGTGTGCGTGCGCATGAGGATTGACGCTCTTTTTGTCGATCGAACAACTTTCTCTGTCGCTGTGGTTTTGTGCAGCCTCTGTGTCCATCTCCAAGCTATGATCACATGACCCAGCACCTGGTGCGTGTGTGTGCTTACGCGCACTCGTTTCGCTCAGGTGTCCACAGATCAACCGTACCACACCGTCCTAGACGTTACATTTCAGCGCCAATTCGGGTGTGAGAGAGAGAACACATTCACGACCGACGACTGCTAATCATTATCCTGTCTCTGTTCGGTGTGTGAAATCATACGTTTTATCTCCGCCTTCGGCAGCCGCTTCTGCTTGACCCATCTGACAGTAGAGTGTAGGCTGATTTATCAAAATAAGAGCGATATTAAGCGACGTGCTTTGGCAGGTCTATAAAGCATGTCAAATGATTCATTCACGGTATCTATTCGACCCCGAAAACCCTGGTATGGATATAATCCAGACAGCATTAGATTACTTCGGAAATCCATTATCAAACGTTTCACATCGACAGAACACCTCGAATGGAAAACAAATTGATTTTTACCCCTTCGTTTATTGCAGCTACAAAGATGGAATAAACAGGTAGCAAATAATGTCCTAGTAATTGTGTGTTGTTCGGATCGATTCAAATGTACGAAGTGTCGGGGTTAGAAAATGTGTACCAAAAATAGTGGTTATGAAAAACGAATAAACAAAAAGCGAAAGGCAAGGAGCAAGAAAGGTCACGTGGGTGACGTCACACGCTACCGGCTCACGCCAAAGTAATCTGAAGTCTCGTTGCAAGCCAACGCTTGCTGTCACCTGTCAGACGATGATGCCATCGAGTAAGTTTCCCGTGTCTAGTCACACCGCTTCATGTTCAATAATTCTTTGATAAAGTGTTAGAGTGGTCTTATTCATCTTCACCTATTACAGGTTCATGTAATTCAGCAAGCAGATCATCGGAAAGGTGCTTGTGCATGGCTTCTTCTGTCTCTCCGACAAACTGTGGCCCGAGTCAAGTCAGAGGCAGCTTCTTCCATTGCCTTCGTGATCTTCTGTTTAAACCACATGAGAATGATGCCATCATCACGACTGAGGATTCAAAAGCTCGTGTTCGCTGTCGATCATCTGACGCGGTTCATTTTAGAGGTCATCACGGCCTTGACAACTGCAGTTCGGATAACGGAGTTAGCCTTGTTAGCCTGAGCTCAGAACACGGTCTTTTCTTGTTAGCACGAACTTCAGACATCTCTTGGTCACTGGGCTTAACTTCTGCTCGACACAAACCTGTTTTCAGACTGATCACAATGTTCAGCTACGCAGAGTAAGCGTGCACATCGGTTTATATGCTTTAACTTCACGCTATTCCATACCAAGAGGCCTATCAGGGAGAACCTACTCTCCTCTGAGATTCTAATTGGCGTCAAGGGAAGACACGCTCCGAACTGATTTCAGTCGTCAGGACGATAGTTGGAAAGTGCAACCTCTTGTCCGTGAACTTGAAACCAACGGTCGCTTTAGATTTGTTAACCATATTTTTCCTGAACAACCCAAGAATCTGAAATTTGATGAAACAGTTGCACAACTATCAGAACTCCTTGATGAGTCAATTTCTGTGATCAGTGTTCCATGAAGTTTTCGTAAAATTATCAAATGGGATGCAGAGCATTATGGCATGCTATGTTGATCGAGTCAACCGTGAGTGCCAAAAGGTTCAAACTTCACTCATTGACCGATTCAAGTGCCACATTTTCATCAGAGCTCTGCAGAACCCAGAAGGTGCCGACGTTCGTATTCATTTGCTATTCAGGCGTGATCAAGATCCAGGGAACAGACTTCTTGACTTAGAATATGACGATGACGTCGCCTTGTTGGGTGACAATGCACAGACAGTCCAACAAGCTTTACGCCACTTGGCGATAGAGATATCCAGGCATGGTATGTGCTTTGCACCATCGACGTGCAAAGTACTGTTTCAAGATTGGCAGGAGCCTGTGCCTGCACCCACCCTCTGTGGTAATCAGCTGGAAATGGTCGAGAGCTTTAAGTACCTCGGGAGCTTGATCACAGCTGGTGGTGGGGTTGGGGAAGAGATCACATCACGAATAGCGAAAGCTAGAGCAGCCTTCGCCAACCTGCGATACCTATGGCGCCGGCGTGACATCCGACTGTCCCTTAAGGGAAAGGGTGTACATTGCCGCGGTCCACAGTGTTCTGCTTTACTATTGCGAGATTTGGCCTCTCCGAGCGGAGGATGCTAATCAGCTTTCCGTATTCGACCACCGATGCCTTCTAAGCATTGCTCGTGTCTGGTGGGAACACCGGGTGAGTAATGACGAGGTTCGTCGTCGCGTGCTGAGTACTGATAGTCGTCTAACAGAAGTAATCGCTCTACACCGCCTCCGATGGCTTGGTCACGTACTGCGTATACCTACCCACCGACTACCTCTCCGTGCTCTCTTCGCACGCGCTGGACAACGCTTGAAGAAGCTTCGCGGCTAGACCATGACATGGCTAGAAGCATGAGGAAGTTGGCTTCGGTTAGTGCAGCCCGCGTTCCAGATTTGGGCCCAAGGGATGAGGAATAGAAGTCAGTGGCGCGAATGCTGTACGGTCTGCCTGTCGAAATCCCGTGTCCCGTAAAAAAAGTACCAAAAGGGGTACGGTGAAACACAAATTTTTTTGTTATTCCAGGTAGCCTCCATTTCCTGGTGTTTAACTCTTCCACCCCTTTTTCACCCTGTTCTGTGCTCCAAACCACCTGTCGCCTTTCATTATTATTATTATTATTGTTTTTGCGTTGGCACCAAGCTTGTGTACAAGCCGGTGATATATATATATATGTCATATCTAAACTTCTCGCCGGTATTATACTCCTTTTGTCCTCTGCCGCACGTAAACGGTATACGCGTGAGAACCAGGCAGGTTTTAGACCTGGTCGAGGTTGTATCGACCATATCCTCACTCTCCGCTAAATTCTGGAGCCCCGACATTCTTTTCGTAGACCCACCATCTCTGTTTCTCTCGATCTGAAAGCGGCTTTCGACTCAGTCGATTGCTCCAAACTCTGGCGC